TAATAGTAGCACAGTCAGCTTAGGAGGCTGAGTCAAGAGAATTTCAAGTTCAAGTTCAGCCCAGGCAATCTAGAGAGACCCTGTYTGAAAAAATAAAACAAGGTGAAGATGTAGCTTAGCAGTAAAGAGCCCCTGGATTCATTCTCTAGTACTGCAAAAACTAGTACATGCTTTTTGCCTTCAACAGTTTGTAATCAAATTTTTTTTAAAAAGCTTCAAGCTGAAGAACATTAGAGAATAAGACAGTAAAAAGTGATGACAAATTATATAATCATCGTATAAAGACTGTGTATGGATTAAAACAATAATTTAAAATAGCATATATTAAGCCTTTATCGAGAACTGTGGTAACTCCAATCCTCATAGCACTTAGGTAAATTGTTATGTTTTGCTCTGTTTGAGGAGAAAGGGGGGTATCAGAAATTGAAACCAGGAGCACTCACCCCTGAGCCACATCCCCAGTTTTTTTTTTTTATTATTAATTTGTTTGTTTTTGACAGGGTTTCGCTAAATTCCTGAGGAACTTGATAAGTTGCTGAGGCTGGCCTCAAACTTTCAATCCTCCTGCCTCCTAGCCACAGGTATTGCAGGCATGTGCCACTGCACCTGGCCTAATATTTTTGTTTTCTTATTTGTACTACTGGGGTCAAACCCAGGACCTCTTATATGCCTGGGAAGCACTTTAACAGGGAGCCACACTCCCAGCCCCAAGATAATAGCTATTAAGGGTGGCTTAGGGTAGTATGTACCCAGAATCATGCCCTAGAAGACTTAGATTTCAGCTAATCCCTGACTTATAAGAGGCAATCAAAGGAAAGCAGYAAGGTAGAAATAGGAGTGGGGGTGGCAGTGAACATAGGAACAGGTTAAAATGACATTAAGTAAGCAAGTAAAGAGACTAACTAGAGAGAAGATTGAGGATTACAGGAAAATCTGGGAGGCAGGGAACAAGCAGTTTATAAATGGCCTTAAAACTCAAAGGAGATTCCATTTAAAACAGTGAACAATAAGAAACCATTGTAGGTTATTGAGCTCAGAAAGGATATTAAAAAGGTTTTCTTGGAAAGATATTACATGACAGTGATATAAAATAATCCTAACTTCAAAGCTAAATTCATATTAGTAATTACTCTTCTTGGATCCTATAACTAATTCAATCAGACACTTCAAGGCCTGGGATGCCAGGAACATTAGAGAAGCCTCTGCTGCTCCTATTTCTAGCAACTTCTCTGCAAGCAGGATACCTTCAGGTAGTTTATTTTCCATTCCCCTACTTTCCAGTTGTTTTATACCCAGCCTACTTGACCCCTAATACATTTGTTTTCAACAGATGATCTCTATATCTCTTCTTATATGGTTCCTGATTATATTTATGATTCAAATACAACCTCTAAGGTTCTAAACATATCTGGAAGCTTCAAAGATATTGATAATAAAAGCAACCCTAATCCAAAGCAATCTACTTATATAAGTTTCATCCTACTTGTTTTTCCTAAAATGGTGCTTTCTCAGAAACTAAGCATTAGGAACTGCTATCAAGATACAATTTCACAAAACATTATGCCTAGCTAGGTGARGTGGTCCATGCCTGTAATCCTAGCAAACCAGGAGACTGAGGCAGGAAGATCTCAAGTTGCACAGCCTGGCCAGTTTAGTGAGACTCTGTCTCAAAATAAAAATAAAAWATAAAATATAAAACATCTGGGGGTGTAGCTCAGTGGTAGAGCACCCTTGGGTTAAATCCGAGTCCCCCCCCCCCCATACACACACACACACAATGGTGTGTGTGTCTTCCAGCGCCTAATTCAATTGTCCCATCATCCAGCAAGATCTGTTAAGATTATGGTAAATAAAACAGAAGATGGTAGTTGGAGAGCTGGGGACAGGGAATTATCTTGTAACATTTCCATATCCAAATGAATCCATTTCAGAACTATTTTTACTAGTTTCTTCAATTAAAATACAAATTAACAATTTTAAACTGTGTACTTTGCAGACTTTAAATTTCTCAGTACTCAAGTTTCAATTTGGAAGCAAGGAGGGAGTGATTCTTCTACCTAGAATTCCATGATAGATTTGAGTAGTGCATAGGGCCTATGTTCTCCAACCCTGAATAGCATAAATTTAAACCTTTGCCACTAAAAACTGGAGGCTGTTGTCAAACTATAATAGTTATAAACATGAYTCAGACCAAGTGTGTCTTTAGCAAAGATATGCTGAACTGATAATGAAGGAGCAAGCTAAATGGTAAATTGAAGAAAATGATGGAGCCTGTGGTCCCAATTACTCTGGATCACTTGAGTCCAGGAATTGGAGATCTCAGCGGGGCAACATAGCAAGACCTGGGCTCAAAAAACAAAACAAAACAAACAAAAAAAGCTTAAGATTGCTATCYTAAAAAAACACAACCTTTCAGGAGTTATATTCTCCCAGTCAGAAATAATTTGTATCTCAATTAGTCAACAAGATGTAATTATAGAAGTCTAAACCCCGAAACCTTAACCAATGCAATGTTATGTGGCCCTTATGAACAAAGCTCCCTTTTGATTTTGAAAGGACATGTAGCCATCCTTTGACCTTATTTTCAAAATTTTCATAGTGAGTGTGTGTGTGTGTGTGTGTGTGTGTGTACACATACTTTTTTAAACCACAACTAAAAATGTTTCTACAAGTCGGTTAACTATTCCTCATCACCTTATCCCACCTTTTGTTTTTATAAGTTCTAGGAAGGGTGGTGCTAGCTATAAATATCAGAGTATTCCTCCTGCACTTAATGAATCTGAAACCCCTTCAAGTGGGACTCTCCAGTAATTTAATATCCTTTGTTTCAATGTTTCAATGTTACACGCACAAAGGCTTGCTATCAGTAAGACTTTTAAGACTGTAACTACCCAAGGATGAGGCCTCCGAGTGCCCTCCCCCCGCGGAGTGCTGAAGACACTGATTGCGCGGCTGGGGCCCAAGGGGCGCTGGGTCGCGCGCCCTGGTCACTCGCCCGAGCAGCAGCTCCAGCGCTGCAGCCCGCGTGGGCCCGCAGTTCTTGGGCGAGGGCCCCGCTTCCCCGGCCTTTTGTTCCGGACTCGGCTGCTTCCCGCCCACCCACTCCCGCCCTTCCTCCCGGTCCTAGGAGTGGGATGAGGACGGTGCGGGAAGCAGAGCTGGGAGAAGGATGGCGGCATTGGCTGTGGGAATACTCACCCCGCTCCGCTCGGCCCCTGACCCCGCAGCCCAGCCTGGCGGGCGGGGCGACGGGGCTGGGGGAGGGGAGGCGGGGACCKGCACCTAGCGCCCCGTGAGGACACCGCCGCGCGTGCGGCCCTAGGGAGGAGGGACATAGGAGGTGGGCCCAAGGGGGCYGTGAGGGCGGCGGCGACCGAGCGAAACCCCACTCGGCGAGGGAGGCCCACCAGAAGGGCACGTTCCCTCCCGCGGCAGCCWCCAACAACAACAACCGAGTCCGAGCATGCGTACTGGGTTTTCCCGCGCGCCTCGGGGAGCGCCCCGCGCAGGCCCGTGACGTCGTCGGCCGCGCGCTCAGGGCCGACCAGGCCGGGGCTTGGACGCCGWGTGCTGGGTCTAGACCCCTTTGCTGCGAGCGTTGACAGGAACCAAGGCCCCGCCCCTCACTTCCTTCGCGCGCCCCCTGGCTCCCCAGCCCGGCTAACCTGAGTTTGGCTGAGCTCTTGGTGGAGGACAAAGGCGGCTCATTGCGGAGGAGGAGCTGAGGGCAGGGGGAAACTTGGGGGAAGGGGTACTAGCGGTTTCAAGGGTCCCTGCACGCTGTCCTCCAAGACATTTTCTAATATCCGAATATAAAAGAGTGATCAATGAAGAGCAAGAGTAAAGCAACAGCAAGAATGTAGTGCCACTAGCATTCCCCTGAGAGGCCAGGGAGCCATGCCAGCGAACATTGCAAAAAGTACCACGAACACCACGATTAAACSCATACACGTGTCCACCACTTGAAAACTTAAGAATGGGGGAGAAGTTAGGAATTGAGTATCGACAGTATTACCATCTTGGCACATATCTCAGGGGGGAAAAAAAAAGGTGTGTGTGTGTACACGTTGGAGGAAAATAGTAGGACTAGGGAAAAGACTACAGGATGACTAGGAATTATAGGGGTAAGATAATAAATATCTGAGGGAAAACACATCTGCTCCTGTAAACAGTAGAATTGTATTTGTTGTAAAACAAAAGGTGTAAACGCAGGTAAAGAAGTAATGAAAAACCTACCTTCAAACTTTCAGGGAATGGAGCCTGTGAAGAGGAGGARGGCCTGTAAACCCAGCTATTTGGGAGGCTCAGACAGGAGGATGTCTAGTTCAAGGCCAGCCTGGGCAACTTAGACTGCGTCTCAAAATTAAAAGGCGCTGGAGTTCTAGCTAAGTGGTGATCCTCCTGACTTCAACCCTCAGCACCAGGGTGAGGAGTGGGGAATGGGGTAATTTCAGGGCATGGTTTTGATCCCGTAGACAGTCATATAAGAGATCCCCATTGGAGTAAACTAGGTAATAAATACCCAGCACTGTTCGTCCATAACCATTTCAAAATAAAAGCTTGTTTTTTTAAAAGAACCATACTGATCAGTGGTAACCAGGAAGAAATTAACTGAAAAGTGGCTTAAGGGAATTTGAAGGGATGATGGATCGGTTCTATATCTTGATTGTACTGAGGATTAAATCACTGCTTTCTTGGTCAAACCCCACAAAAAGTCTGATTTTTGCAAGTAAGATTTTAAAATTAATCTTTTAAAAAATATTGCTAGCAAAAAATAAACTTCAACTAACATTTTAGCAACTACAAATTGATTGGTAAGTGCTAGTTTAAATTATACATTCGATCTTTTTAAGTACAAGACAGTGAATTTTTTGTTTATTTTGCGGTAGGATTCAACCCAGGGGTGTATGTTTATTTTGAGACAGGGTCTCACTAAATTRCCCAGGCTGGCCTTGAACTGCCATTCTCTTGACTCAACTTCCAGAGTTGTCCAGATTATAAGCACGCCAGTTTACAGGAGTATGTAAAAATAAYAATTCATAATATCCTCTAGATACTGTGATCCTACAATGGGACACAAGTTTAAAATTACATGGCCAGTGTCTTATTTTTCTCAGTCTCATCAGTCCCTCTCATTTGTACTTTCTGTTCATATCTCATAGGCTACACAGAGATATAAAAATGGTAGGAGGGGCTAGGGCTGTAGCTCAGTGGTACAGTGCTTGCCTTGTATATGTGAGGCACTGGGTTTGATCCTCAGCACCACATAAAAATAAATAAAGATACTGTGTGTTCATCTACAACTAAATAAATATTTGGGGGGAAAAAGGTAGGAAATGTAGCCATTTGCTCAGGTAAACCTTGACAGGGGGAGATTGTTTTATTTCTAAAAGAAAGGAGAATGATACTGAGGGGAAAAATGCTATCTGGACTGCTGCTTGAAGTAGCAGATCTCTTCTACCACCTTCCAGGAGATCCTCAGGGAAATGTAAATTAAATAAGAGTTACAGGAGGTAATCTGATTGGATGGCAGAGATAAGAAACTTGYCTTCAAACTGTGTATGCATAATACTTACCCAAATATATAAGAGAGAAAAAGCAATAGTTGGCAAACCTATGGAGACAGTAAAAAGATCAATGGTTACCAGCCAGAGTTTGCTAGGAGGGAAGCAAAGAGGGGAGGGATGAACATGTGGAACATAGATCATTTATTAGGGCAGTGAAACTACAATGTGTGATAATGTAMTGGTGAATATATGACATTTGCATCTATCAAAATCCATAAAACTGCCCAACACAAAGAATGAACCCTAATGTAAATTATGCACTTTTGTTAATGACAATGTGTCAATATTGGCTCATCAATTCTAACAAAATGTACCATACTAATGCAATATATTAATAAAAAGGAAAACTATGAGTGCAGTAGACAGGAATTCTCAATGCAATCTGCTGTATTTTCTGTAAGCCAATTTTTTCCTAAAACAAAAAAAAAAAATTGAAACTCTATTAATTTAAGAAAATGATACTGCCAAAAAGAAAATATATACATATATCTATATCAAAGAAAGAAAGAATTGGAGAATTAAAAACAACCACAGAAAGATGATTCAGTCTTTCTATCACACTACTTCTACCCATGAAGTACAAATATATTTGGGAAGTTTGCATTATTTTTATATTTTCATAACTTTTTTTCTGCAGGGGCACTTAGCCATTAAGCTATATCCCTAGTACCTTTGTTTTATTTTTGAGACAAGATCTTGCTCAGTTGCTTAGGGCCTCACTAAATTGCCCAGGCTGTCCTCAAAACTGCAACCCTCCTGCCTCAGCCTCTTGGGTTGCTAGGATTACAAGCATCCACAACTGTACTGGCTAATTTGGGARCATTTTATTGTACATAAATTATACCCCAAATCTTATTAAAATATATGTGGTATGGTGGCACATGCCTATAATCCCAGCAACTCAGGAGGCTGAGGCAGGAGGGCCACAAGTTCAAGGCCAGTATGGGCAATTTAGGGAGGCCATAAGCAATTTAGCAAGATCTGTCTCAAAAATTTTAAAAAAACAAAAATAGGGCTAAGAATATATGTAGCACAGTGGTAATGTGCCCCATGAATACCAGAAAAAGAACAATGCCACCAAATCAAGTCTACAGTTTAATGAATTTTGGCTTGGGGAATGGTGTATGAGGTATACCTGTAAGCCACTTCCCTAGCCCTTTTTATTTTGAAACAGGGTCTCACTGAGTTGCTAGGGCCTTGCTAAATTGTTGAGGCTGGCTTTGAATTTGCAATCTTCCTGCCTTAGTCTCCTGAGTTGCTGGGRTTACAGGCATGAGCCACTGTGACCTTCAATTTTGTGAATTTTAATGAAGATATCCACCTTTGTGCTATGATCTGATTTTGTTGTTGTTGTGCTGTGGTTTTTTGTTTGTTTGTTTTTGKTTTTGATACTAGGGATTCGATCCAGGATGCTTAATCACTGAGCTACCTCCCCAGCCCTTTTCATTTTGTGTTTTGAGACTGGATCTTGCCAAGTTGCTTAGGGTTTCACTAAATTGCTGAGGTTTGCTTCAAATTTACAATCCTTCTGCCTCATCCTCCTAAATTGCTGGGATTACAGGTGTGCACCACCTGTAATGGTCTACATGTTTTTATTTCTCAAACATTCATATGCCAATTTCTTAACTCCCAAGGTGATGGTATGAGGAGGTGGAGCTTTTCAATGAACTCAGAACCAGATCCTTATAAGACATGAAATCTACTGGTAACCTGATCTTGAACTTTCCAACTTCCAGATCTGTGAGAAAAGGTTTTGTGCTATTTATAAGACACCCAGTTTATGGTGTTTTGTTATAGTAACACAAATGGACTGAGACATTATATAACCATATCCCAACCAAAATATAGAATATTCGCATCATCCAAAAGTGTTACCTCAAACTCTTTGAAGTTAATCCCTCCCCACACCTACAGACCCTTAGCACCTGCCCATTTACTTAGAGTAGTCATTCTAGATTTGTTTTGCCAATACTAGAAAATGGTATCATACAATATGTGTATGTCAGCATAATGTTCTTGAGAYTAATTTGTGTTGTTGCATTTATTGCTAACTAATTCCTTTTATTACTGAGTAGTATTCCATTGCACAAATATACCACAATTTTCTTAAACATTCATCTGGGAAGGGTATTTAGGTTGCTTCCAGCTTTGGGCTATTATGAAGAAAGCTGTTATTAATAGTTATATACAAGTATTTTTGTGTACACATATTTTGATTTTTCTTGAGTAAATACCTAGGGGTAGACATACATTCTGTGATCAATATAGAAATAAAAGTTGTATTTTACTCTTCTATATTGATCACATTCCTTAGCTTGGAGCTTGTCTTATTTGATGATTCTAATTTAGAGATATTTTTGTTGCTGAATTTAGCTATCTTTATGAAATTGAACATGTTTAAAAGTTGCTGTCCCCCACACACAAGGGATTAAACCCAGGGGCTCTCTACCACTAAACTACATCCCCTGCCTATTTGTTCATTTATTTATAATGGAGATTGAACCCAGAGGTGCTCTACCACTKAGTCATATCCCCAGCCCTTTTTATTTTTTTCTCTAGAGACAGGGTCTTGCTAAGTTGCCTAGGGTCTCACTAAATTGCTGAGGCTAGGTTGGAACTTGTGATCCTCCTGTCTCAGGCTCCCAAATGGCTGGGATTGCAGGCATGTACCACTACACCCAGAT